GTTTATATATTTTTTATGTATTATTTATCAATAATTAATGAGGTTTTTTATGTAATAATTAATATTAATTTTTACTAACAATTAATCAATTAAGTAAATTAATATATTTATATTTAATTATTTATTGTATAGTATTATCTTATAAAAAATATTCTAAAGGCACTTCTTCACTCAATTTTTTAATTTTAAGCGTAGATTTTTACTTTTTTAATCATCCTCTTGATTTGTTTATTACATTATGTATAGAAAGATAAATGTTAACTGTTTTTCCATGTGATGTATTTATTTAAAATATGTTGATTCAAATGTAGATGTTAAATGAGACACTTCATCCTAAGAAAAATATAATCATTTCAATATATTCATTTTAAAATTTTATCTAATTATTTTTACTGATATATTGCTTAATTTAATATATCTTTAATTCTGAATTATCTCTCTTTCATATAAATGGTTTAATCTCTTATTATTGAATATAATATTAATTTTGTTAATAGATTTAAGAAGGTTTTCTTTAAGTCTAAACATCAAATCTTCAGGTTTATTGCTTTACTGTCTAAAATAAATTGAAAATGAATGTTTACTATAAGCTAAAATAACGCTTCTGTAAACGCCAAATCAGTTAAGGCACGTCAAACTAAATGACGGTTCCGTATAGGATACAGATTCGAATCCTGTCGGAGGACGAATATTTTTTTTCTGAAAATTTCTCGAATATTCAGGCCGGTGCTTAATGTTGTTTAATACTGTTTATTATAAACAGAGCATTTACTTAAATATTTGTATCTATAAAAGAATGTATAAACATAAAATGTCTTAAAATAATTGTTTGACTTTATCCATTTCATAATGTGTGACGTCATTTGTTTACAATTTATACGCCATGAGCAAATATGAATGTACGTGAGAGATACATGGAAGATTGAAGTTTAAAGACAGTAAATTCGACCTGGCTAACCGAACGCTCCTCTGTAGCCAGATCAGTCAAGCTAAATGACGGTTCCGTATAGGATACAGGTTCGAATCCTGTCGGAGGACGAATACTTTCTGTGAATGTAAGGCCGGTAAATGTTGTTTAATACTGTTTATTATAAACAGAGAATTTACTTAGATATTTGTATCTATAAAAAGAATGTATAAACATAAAAATGTCTTAAAATTATTGTCGAGCTTTGTCCATTTCATAATATATCTATATCTATATATATATATATATATATATATATATATATATGTGTGTGTGTGTGGCTTTTGTTTATAAATACCTGTTGATAGAACTTGGAGATTTGCATTACTATTGTTTTTTTTTCTTTCTATATGACCTTGCAAACAAAATACTGTTATAAAAAAGTTATCATATGAGGTTCAGGAACGGATTTTACATTAATTTCTATGTGGAAAACTGTTTCGGCTTACGAATATTTCGGGTTACGAACTGTTTTCGTGAACGAATTAAATACGTGAACAACAGTTCCATTGTATATCGTTTTATCATCTTTTGAGTCGCTTTGCTTTCTTTAATATTTAAACGAATAAAACAATTCAATGTTGTTTGAACGTGACTAATCAGCATTTTTTTTTTTTTTACAGAGGGAGACAATATGGTTCATCAAAGTATGCTGTTCTCAGACGGTATTTAAAATAACTTTCTATTTCTTTAAATATTTTTTACGGTAAAGTTCACTTTGTACAAGGCCAGGGGGGTGGCACTCGAAGTGGAGGGTTACGTTAAGGGGTTGTTTATATAGATAGGAGGGTAAGATAACGATTAACGCTAGACTTGAACACGTTAAGGCTGCAATAATCTGGGAAGTCGGTTCCACAGAGTAGTGGTTCGCGGGAAGAAGCTGTTCAAGGGGAACTTCTCGTCGATGGAACACGGAGGGTGTATCAGTGGTTTGTTACAATGTAAGTGGCATGGCGTATAGAGTAGACCTTGCGAGACCAAAGAATTCGGTTCGTGGCGAGAGGATGCTCGAGTGAAACTTACATCTCACCAAAGGAATACAAAGGAAATGAGGGTGCTTCACTATTCTGTGCGTAGCATGACAGGTCTTAGTTCTAAAGGTCTGAACTGGTGGAACTAAGATAACGGTTAACCCTAGAATTGAACACGTTAATATTGTAGCGATCGGAGAAACAACCTCTTGGGAGTCTTTTCCAAAGAGCAGTTGTTCGTGCGAAGAAGCTGTTTGAGGGGGAACCTACTTCTCTCTGATGGAATACAGAAGGTATATGGGTGGTTTGCTGCAATGTAAGTAGCATAGTGGGTCCTAGCCGTGAAGGTTAGATCAGGCGGTACTAAGGAATGTAGTTCGTCTGAGCACTTTTCATGGTAGTAGCGATAGAGCAGTGAGAGAATCGCCACATCCCGCCTGTGTGAGAGAGGTTGGAAGGTGGAAAATAATTCTTCTCCAATAGACGCTTTTGAACTGGAAAAGTCGGGACAGGGCAGCTCCTGGCCAAATATGGCAACAGTACACCAGATTCTGCCTAATCTGGCTCTTGTAAATGTACAAGATAGTATGAGGAGTCAGCTACTTACTAGAGCGGTACAGGGAAACGATCATTTTACCTGCATCTTTGGTGATGGAACCTATATAAGAGTTCTACTTGAGGTCGGGTGTGATATCGAGACATCGAGGGTGTGATATATATATATATATATATATATATATATATATATATATATATATATATATATATCGGCGCTAAGTTGAGTCTGATTTGGAATCTCTTCGTCACCATTTGGAACAGTTGGTATGTGATGTCGTTTGACAACCCAACTGTCGGTAGTGGATGCGCACTGCTGATGAGTCCCAAATATAGGACGAAACGGCCGTCCAGTGCTTTTGCAAGTTCTGTTGAGGTTTCTATCAGACTCGATGAATTAATTAAATATATATATCTATATATCTATATATATATATATATATATATATATATATATATATATATATATATATATATATATATATATAGGGGTGATATGGAGACCCAATATTATCTCAAGGCACGGAATCCCCTCGTGATGACATCCGTTCATCGAAACTGGCAGTAATTCGGGGTCTGGTCGTTAGTAATGGAATGTAACCTGTACACACAAAAGCACTTAAAACATATTCAAACAGAATGATTAAAATTTATGAGGTTCACATGAACATTCTTGTATAAATTGATGCATTGTATTTTATATTCAAGCACTCAATGAATGCATTATATATATATATATATATATATATATATATATATATGTATGTATATATATATATATATATATATATATATATATATATATATATATATATATATATATATATATATATATATATATATATATATATATATAAATATATTATATTATATATACAGTACTTAGTGAAAAGTGCTCAATATCAGTGATAGGAAACATTTCAGTTGTATGGATATTAGTTGACCCTCAGATTTCACGCTTTGGCAATCATCTGATGATCAAAAAAACCGAGAAACCCAGGGTCACAAATAATATCCATACAAAAGATATATATATATATATATATATATATATATATATAGGGTGTATCAGAAATACTTTTTACCAACTTTCAATGCGGGTTTGATTAGGCATTTAGCAAATCAATTCTTCATCAGACCCAAAAATGAAATAAATAAATATGTGTATATATATATTTGTGTGTATACTTAAAAGATGAATCATAGTCATATTTTTCAAAGCTATCGGTAATGTCTTGTTTTTAGATTTGTGAACTTTGCGATATGTGAAAAAGACAATGGGCAAACATATTTCCTCCGATTAAAGTCCACAAATCCTCAAAAGTAGACACTGATAGAACTTCTAACAATCGACAATACATTTGTCAATAGATATCAGTAATACTAGGATCTTTGCCACACCCACACACACACACACAGACACACAGACACATATACACAGACACAAACAATATATATATATATATATATATATATATATATATATATATATATATATATATATATATATATATATAGATAATATTAGTGGTAAATATACATACATATGCAAAATATATAAATATCCATACATGTATATTTTTTTAATAAAAATTCCAAGAAGAAGAATCCAGGTAGAACTCAATGTCCAGGACAGAGTAAGGATATAATAAAAAGGCTTAAACACTAATATTCCATGGTCATAATTTATTCCATTGGAATCGTAAATAAGATCCAATTCATCAGACAGAAAACCGAAAAAACAACTCCGGAAATAAAAACAGAAAAAACAACTCCGGAAATAAAAACAGAATTTAGAGAGAGTGTAAGTATGTGGAGGAGGGATATTAAACCGTAACAGAGAGAATTTTAGGAGAGGTGGGTGGAAGGGGTCTAAGTAAGAGAAAAATGAATGTTGTCGGATGTCTAATGCATAAAGATACATTTCGTGGTGACACACACACCATAGACAATCTAATGTTAGAATAAGAGGGAGGAAAAGACGACGTGGGGGAGAGAGATGGGACGATGGTAAAATTGAACGGCGTGCCGCTTTGTAATTGAGAAAATTTGACAAATTTAATATCGACTACAGGTTACAAATCAAATATAAACATATAAAAATAAATATAACGATTATCTAATCCGGCAAGGACCTATATTTTTATGTTCAAGAACACATGCGAATACACACATACACAATAACATATCCACGTATATACACATTGGCGTGTACCCACATACACACATATATATACCCATGTACACACATATAAAAATATATTCACATATCTACACATACACATATTCATGTATATCCATATACACACACTTTTCACATACATATACATACATACACATGCACCCATCTATGCACACATACACACACACACATAGACATATATATATATATACACACACACATACATACACACATAAACCTACATATGTACATATACACATCCATACACATACACACACACACACATATATATATATATATATATATATATACACACATATATATATATATATACACCCTTACATATACACACATACACACACACATGTACACATGCACATACATATATATATACATATATATAAAAAAAAACAAAAATATACAAAAGTACATACACACACATACATGCATATATACACACATCCATCCATCCGCATCCAGTTCTTCATATATATACACATTTACCCACATATATACATACGGACATACGCATACGTGCGCATAAACATATATACCTAAAACCTACATTTTTATACAATTATATACACCCATTTAAACAAATAAACAATGTATCCCTATATCTATCCGTCTAACTATATATACACATATATATACGTACATATACACCCATATACAAATATATATGAGTACATACATACCAAAACATACACACACATATATACACACACATCTACATATAGATCCATCTACATATATAACCATCCATCTACATATACATACATCCATATACGTATACATAAATATACATATATACACATACATGTACATCCATACATACACACAAATATACCTATATACACACACCTACATATGTACACATATATACACACATACACACACAGCTAAGTACATACACATATACATATATATGCACACATACACAAACATACATATACACATACATATATATATATACATATATTTATTAAAGACATTTTTATTTATGTTTAACGTTGTTATTTTATAGATACAAGTATTTAGGCAAATGCTCTGTTTATTCGTTAAGACAGGATTCGAAATAACATCCTGTCTGTCCTGAACGAATATTTTCTATGAAAATTTCGACATTCAGGCCGGTAAATGTTATTTAATACTGTTTATCATAAACAGAGCATTTGCTTAAATACTTGTATCTATAAAATAACAACGTTAAACATAAATAAAAAATGTCTTTAATAAATAAATTGTCGGACCTCGTCCATTTCTTAACATATACATATATATACACACATACACATACATACACATAAACACACATACACATACACACACACACATATATATATACACATATACTCACATACACTCACATATATATACACATATACACATACATACATAAACACACCCATACATATATATATATATATATATATACACACACACATATCCATATCCATATATATATATATATATATATATATATATATATATATATATATATTTATATATATATATATATATAAATTTATATAAAAATTAAAATTTAAACTCTAAATTCAAACATTTGGGCGTGTAAAAAAAAAAACGGTAAAAAATAAATAAATAAATACAAAAATAAATACATAGCGCATCACACAAACATACACAATGATACATATAGAGATAAACATAATAAACGTAATAGTCATTCCATTAAAATGTCATGCCCGATGTTATTGAACCAAGATGGAACTGACATAAGTGACAACATGTTACAAAACGGTGTTCATGTTTTGAATCGTTTCTTATGTCTACATTTAGAAAATATCTCATTACGAAGATTCAGCAGCTCATTTTGATTCTTATCTTTGATAATGAAGACTTTTTCCGCCATGCACAGATCACACTGATCGCGGGAGTTATTAGGTGTTCTGGCTCTTGATAGGTATCTCCATTTCAAAATTGGGCTTAATCCCTTATCACCAGTTCCCAGTAGTGTTTGGATAAGGAAGTCTGACTTCTGAGGCATCTATATCTAAATGAGCGTCTGTGGTTGTATAGACGCTGCTTCCAATCACCAGCGGATATACCTATGTATCTTTTTTTCTCGTTTATATTTTCCTCGGGAACGATAGTTGCCGCGTATATTACATTTTCATACTTACATTTACATCCGATTGGACAATGGTCTTTATTCCTACAATTGCAGGTAGGGTTACTAGATTGAGTTCCATTACTGTGGTAGTTTCTAAGTATTCTGCAATTATGGGAAGATATGATTTTCTCTATATTTCTAACGCATGGGTAACTAATTTTTAGAGTCTTCCTATTGAAAATTTTACGTAGTGGATGTTTACTGTGGAAATGTTTATCAATTAATTTCAGAAAGAAACTTCCTGTTTTTTCTGTTTTCTTTTTGAATTTGTAGATCTGATGAATTGGATCGTATTTACGATTCCAATGGAATAAATTATGACCATGGAATATTAGTGTTTAAGCCTTTTTATTATATATATATATATATATATATATATATATATATATATATATATATATATATATATGAGTATGTAAATATGAATGGGCACTGAAGTCACCAACCAGCAGCGACAGTCTGTTTCATACTTAAACGCAATCACCAGGCCATACCGATTGCGTTTCGCAGTCAGTTTTTGACTTCAATGTCCACTTTATATATATATATATATATATATATATATAAACGGACTTTAATATTCACTTTTATGTTTACATACACTCTATCTGTGATAATGACCACTTTATCCCATAAATATAGCACACCTAAAAACCATATTTCTTCATATATATATATATATATATATATATATATATTAGCGGCCATAATATAAGAAACGGAAACAACAAAGACATCAATATGTGTATTACATAACATATATATATATATATATATATATATATATATACATGCACACACAGACACACGGATATCTCAACCTGTTCATAAATCTATCTATCTATCTATCTATCTATCTATCTATCTATCTATCTATCTCGCGTTAGGCTTTATATTCAGGGAGAAAAATTATACAGGCCAATACTTTTATTACAGGTACAGTTAATTATGTTAATCCTTAATGTTTTTCCATTACAGCTTTATGCAGGAAACCACCTCTAAGGAGATCTAAAGGTAATAACAATTTTTTATTTGGCATCAAGTTCGTTTTGGCCTATGATCATATAGAACAGTTAATTATGTTAACTTCAATATTTTTTCCTTTACAGCTCTACCTCGCAGATTATCATTGCCGGAATCAGAAGGTAATAACAATTTTTTATTTGTCAATATCTACATGGGCCCTCAGATAAAGATATATTTTCCTAAGATAACTGAAAGAGTAAAAATATTTTGAATAATGTTTTGAGGGGGAGTCAATACTTAATATATTTTTTGACGTCCGTTTTAATTAACCGGTGTCGTTTCGCTGTACAATCGTATTCTCACCCCACTGTACCCACGCATACCACAAGATCGGCAGTTAGACATAAACCCAAAGTCAATTCGAAGCCACCCTCCAGCCACGTTGTGATTGTTTTGATCCTGGAGTGTGTTCATCAGGTCGTAGAAATCCGGAAACTTTCCTTTGGTCCACCTGCGAATCGTCGGGTGAAAATCGGGTTAACAGAAAAATAAATATAGCCAAGTCGATTCTATTTTGGAAGGACAACATTTTTCTATATATGTGTGAGGAAGTGTATGTATGTCTGAGGACGCTGACGGCCGATCTGAAAAGACTCAAGAGCACCTCAACCCGCTCCTTGTTGAAACAGCATCGCTACATACAGTTTCGACACCCACTAAGAAATACAATTTCGTATGTATGTATGCTCGAACGCACAAAATGTGCATCTGCGCCTAATCTCGGGTTGTTTATATGGGTGTGTTTGTGTGAGCTAAAATGCATACACCTGTATGTATGTATGTCTGTGTGTGTAAGACTGTAATCCCAAACGGACACAAAGGAGAATTTCCCTCCGCCTCCCACAACCAAACATAATCAAACACAAACAAGCATAAATAGATTCAATATTTAAAAAAAATAAACCAGTTTGTCTGATGGTCGCAAAAGCGTGAAACCCAGGGTCACAAAAACATATCCATACAACTGAATGTGTATATATATATATATATATATATATATATATATATATATATATATATATATATATATATATATATATATATATATATATATATATATATATGTGTGTGTGTGTGTGTGTGTGTGTGTGTGTGTGTGCAGATATAGAAAATAGGAAAGAACACGTTAAGTAAATAATCCGGAGTTCTTTAGTATTTTTGATTTTATTTTTAAAAGCAGTGCTCCATACAGATGTAGAGCTTAAATTATAATTATTAAAAAAAAAAAAAATTCCGTCGCTACATAAGTATTTTCATGTTTCAAAAACATGAACCAAAAATATCAATATAATTATTAAAATTAAAATGAATTAGAGTATTCCTAAATTTTTGCTTGAGGATGAAACAGGGCTTGATACTTTAATTCAATTTAATTTTAATAATTATATTGAGGTTTTTGGTTCTTGTTTTTGAAACATGAGAACTTTTATGTAGAGAAGGAATCATATTTTTAAGAAAAATATTTATTATATATATATATATATATATATATATATATATATATATATATATGTATAAACAGACTGTTGTTGTCACACCAGGATAAAATGATCTTTAGAAAAGGGATCATATTTTAAAACAGGATGTCAAAGTACCAAACGATTAAAATTTTAGGTATTTTCATCGGCCGACACTACTTCATAATAAATATAATCGTTGGGAAAATAAAACTGAGACAAAAAAATTTTCTTAACATCATAATTTTTCTTGTCAGATGCTTGGTTTTATCTTGCTGACGATTATATTTGTTCTGAAGAAGTGTTGGCCGAAAAGGTACCCAAAATTTTAATCGCTGTGATACTTTGACATCTTGTTTTATTAATAAAATATGATCCCTTTTCTAAGGATCATATATATATATATATATATATATATATATATATATATATATATATATATGTGTGTGTGTGTATTTAGACAGCATTTTTTCATTGATGCATGTTTCATTAAATAATATAGACAAGTGTTGTTTATTTATTTTATGTAAATTCTTTTCAGACGATATGAAAAGAATTTACATAAAGTAAATAGATAACACTTGTCTATATTATTTAATGAAACATGCATCAATATATATATATATATATATAATTTATCGTTTTGTTTATTTTTCAGCAAAACCAAGCCGAACAGATGTAAGTAATACTACGTGTAATTTCTAATGGCTTTGTCCCATAATATGTGTATATTTAAAGTTTTACTGTATGAAATATATATGCAAGTATAAAAACAATTTTGGAATAGACGTAATATATCAAGTTCAGGAAATAGTTTACAACATTTTGCAACAAAACCTTTTATTCATATAATATCGTAAATTGCGGCGTACAAGCCGACCTGGCGTACAAGTCGAGCACAAGATCTCTAGCTCAAATTTACGAGTTAGGCTTATGCCTACCGTATAGTTTAACTCCCAAACATAGGGTAGGCTACCAGTGGCCCTAAACATACCAGTAAATGAAGTTAGACTATAGTGTACGATAACGTGTGCCAAAACTAAGTAAAACCACACCATTTACTTGCATATTGAGACATTAGCCGTAATGGAAATAACCAATAGATATTTATTGCAGACAGTGTGCATCCGCGAAAGTAGCTTAGGAGAAAGGCGTCCGGCTAGCATGTTAATAGCTATTGTTGAAGTAGAAGTTCCTTTCAGTGATTGGATAGCTTCTTTAAATAGCTGTAATTTTTCTTCTGGTTGCTGGCATTATTCCTCCCAAACCTGATGCCACTGTACATGTTTGCGATATGGGAACTGCGGTACATGCTGCTACCTGAGCAACATGGCAGACGAAAAAGTGTATGGGTTTTGAATTTGATATTTATATAGTCAATGTCATGTGACCCTTACAGTGGCAGTGATTGGTCTTTCTTTTAGCCATTCAGTATGTTCGTTTTATTCTGTCCTTGTCTTATTTCGGATTGATTATTCAAAATTTAAATATTTTCCTCAACATTGTAGTCATGGGAAATTGTAGTCAACATCTTTATTTTGACAGCATTAACTGATAAGAATAATGGGAATATCAACCGTTTCCCTATAAGGAAACATTTGGCATACATTGAACGAGCAGGCAATACTGTTTTCTGTTAAAAATTTTAAAAACTTTCTCATAAAACGCATTTTAGTTTTCTCAAATCCAGTAGCTGTTATTGCTCTTTCCACAAATGATGGGTGTTTCTTTCCTAACCTTATATTACAAGTTCTATGGAATGTCAACATATTGATTATGTCATTACTTTCTCTTCGATTTACACGTGATTTACATTTTAACTGTTGCTGCTGTTGAAAGACTACAGGTAATATGTTACGCACATACACACTGACATATATATATATATATATATATATATATATATATATATAAAGAATGATAGATTGATAGATAAATAAATATGAACAAAATGAGATAGTTATGAACAGTATAAGGTTGATAGATAGCTAGATAGGTAGATAGATATAAACAGACTGAGATAGATAGATAGATAGATAGATAGATAGATAGATAGATAGATATAAACATAGAAAGGGATAGTAACGGTAATGGTGATAATAACTGTTTCCCTATAAGGAAACATTTGGCAAACGTTGACCGAGAAGCCAGTACTGTTTTCGGTTGAAATTTATAAAATCTTTCTCTTGAAAACGTTTTCAGGAAAATAGGTTTCTCAAGTCCAGTAGCTGTTATCGCTCTTTCTACCAATGATGGGTGTTTCCTTCCTAAACTTTTCTTTGAAGTGCTATGGAATGTCAACATATTGATTATGCCATTATTTTCTCTTCGATTTACACGTGATTTACATCTTAACTGTTGCTGCTGTTAAAAGACCATAGGCGATATGTTTACACATATACACAAAAATATATATATATATATATATATATATATATATATATATATATATATATATATATATATATATATCAAAGGCACGACGAGATAGATTGATAGATAGATAAATAAATATTAACAGAATGAGTTACATAGATACATAGATATGAACAGTATAAGGTTGATAGATAGGTAGATAGATAGGTAGATAGATATGAACAGACTGATATATATATATATATATATATATATAAACATGGAGAGAGATGGTAACGGTAATGGTGATAATAGCCGTTTACATATAAGGAAACAATTGGAATTCGCTAACTGAACAGCCAGTATTCCTTCCGGATGAAATTTATAAAATTTTTCTCTTGAGGGGGAGTCAATACTTAATATATTTTTAGACGTCCGTTTTAATTAACCGGTGTCGTTTCAAGAAAATAAGTTTTAAATGTTTAGTAGATGTTATCGCTCTTTCCACCACTGATGGGTGTTATCTTCCTAACATTTTATTTGTAGTAGTGTAGAAGATTATCATCTTGATCATGTCATTATTTTCTCTTCGAGTTACATGTGTTATACATTTTAGTTTTTTCCGTTGTTGGTACACCTCAAGAGGTGTGGTTTCTGTTATTTTCTAGAGTTTATTGTGAATGTGTAGCGCCAGTCAACAAGTTTCGAAAAAAATGGTGTTTAGAATTTGTTGTAGTTGCAGTTTGCGTTTCAAATCTCAGTGAAGATTACAAGCGTGGACAAGATAAAATATTTTCTTTTCTTGTATCTGAAAGCATACGCCATTCTTTATTTTGCAATCTTTGAGAATAAAAATTGTCTCGAGATAATCTGATCGTTCACATTTATCGAACAATTTTAATGTTTAGTTTCTTTTTCATTATAGAAATTTTTAAAACTAATTGGCATAAAAAAAAAGGAGCTATGATACCGAAAAAACATAGAAAAATGGAAAATAGAGTAAGTATTCACCTTTGGTTTCACCATCATTATCTTTAAGTATCCACCAATGGTTTCACCATCTTTATCCTTAAGTATCCACCAATGGTTTCACCATCATTATCTTTAAGTATCCACTTTTGGGTTTCACCATCATTATCTTTAAGGATCCACCTTTGGTTTCACAATCATTATCATTATGTATCCACCTTTGGTTTCACCATCATTATCTTCAAGTATTCACCCTTGCTTTTGTTATGAGACCTTACCCATAATAACATAATGAACTATTCCATACGTAATAAATACTGCGCCTAAAGATGAAGCAGGAAGTTCAGTCTGAAGTCTTGAGTGAGGTCCGTCAGGAGTCTGTCTGTCAGTCAAAGCGAGCGAGTCAGTCAGTCGAGTCAGAGGCAGCCCGAAACAGGCGCGTTCAGACAATTACTACTAAACCTGATTGTTCGTACTAACACTTTCTACTTCTCTGTATATATTCCTGTTTGTAATATATCTGTGTTATTTCATATCCATGTTCGAGTTCTTCTTTATTGGTTCTACCTTGGGCTATCAACGTGGTACAAGGAACCGGACCATAACAGCTTTCACCATCATTATCTATAATCCACGTTTGGTTTCACCTTCATTATCTTTAAGTATCCACCTTTGGCAAAATTTTTTTTCAAAAATTCTATTCTAATAGTTTTTTTCCCTCGCTTGTGGAATTCTCTCCCGGTTTCTCACTTTCCTGTCAACTACAGTCTTCTAAAATGTTAATGCAGCGTCAATCGTCAACTTCCTAGCGCCTCGTTCTTTATTGTCCTTTCTCATCAATAATGTTTTCTCACTTTTCTTTCAATCTTAGCGGCCCCTTTTGACTTAGTTTCTTTATTGACTTGCTTTGGGTAAAATGATCACACACACACATACACACACACACACACACACACACAGACAGATACACACAGACAGAGAGACAGTCACACACACAGACAGATACACACAGACAGACAGACAGTCACACACACACACACACACAGACAGATACACACAGACAGACAGACAGTCACACACACATGCACACACAGACAGATACACACAGTCACACACACACACACACACACACACACACACAGACAGTCACACACACACAGACAGATTCACACAGACAGACAGTCATACACACACACACACACACAGATACACACAGACAGTCACACACACACACACAGACAGATACACACAGACAGTCAGTCACACACACACACACAGACAGACAGACAGTCACACACACACAGACAGATAAACACAGACAGACAGTCACACACACACACACACACACACACACACAGATACACACAGACAGACAGACGGACAGTCACACCCACACACACACACAGACAGATACACACAGATAGACAGACATTCACACACACACACAGAGACAGATACACACAGACAGACAGACAGTCACACACACACAGATGCACACACACACACACACACACACACACACACACACACAAACTGTCCGCCCCCAAAATGTTCACCCTTCAGGGACCGAAATTGCCACAACACTGCTATACAAGAACTTTATGGAAATAATGACATTTTCTTTTAACGACGCAGCGTACCACCACACTACCATCAAGACGTGGCGAACTTATTTGAAAGAGAATTTGCAATGACACTTGCTAAGATGAAGAGGCGCAGTCGTTACGCTGATTTAGCACCTCAGATTTTTACCTATGAGAGATCCTGAAGGATATATATAGCAGAAAACCGATTACTTGTCTCGCACTTAGACATGAAATTGAAAGTGCATGGTCCTAATGATAAATAAAATTTTACTTATTGTTGAAAAGTTCTATCGAGTTTTTTAACAATGTAAATTAAAAGTTTATGTAAATTATTAACATCATTCCTTAACTTTTGTCCAGTAGCTTATTTCCTTTGTTCCATTTAATCTTTATTTAAAAAAAAACTATTATGTAAATTTTTGTAACTTTGTATAATATTTATGCATTACACCCTAATCTTTATTCGGTAAAAATTTCATTGCTAATCATGCATTACTTTTTAAGTAATACACATATTTATGTCTTTGTTGTTTCCGTTCCTTATATTATGGCCGCTACTGTATATACATATAAAATTGAATAGAGATTATCTGTCTACTAAATTTATTAAGGGTGTTTTTCTAAAATATGATTTCTCAAATTTTGCTATTGAAAATGTAAAAAATATTGGAAATTTACGCTAAGACTAAGTTTTTGATTAATATGAACCTTGAATGTGTAAAAAATGTATTAAAATGTGTGATCCTAACATAAAGTTTTGATCCTAACTTAAATGTTTGATCGTAACATAAATTA